AATGCTGTTTCAACGTGATTTTCTTGTGAGCGAAACATGCAAGAGTCTTAGGGGATATCAACAAAATAATAATAATAAGTAGTAGTAGTAGTTGCAGCAGTAGTATTAGTAGTTGTGTATTTACCGTCTTGTAAAACTCTTCACCTATGAAATATTAATTTGGTTAAAACTGATATTCGCTGCATAGTTTGACCTTAGAATTGCTCTTACTGCCAAAACTGTACAGGGTTATTTTTTTATCAGAAATCTAACGAAATGTGTGAAAATAAAAACCTCAGGAGACGATAATGATACAATTATAAAACACATAAGACAGAAATATAAACACTTTGGCTGTCCCTGTGATCCAATACAGTTTACAACATAATTAATTGAACCATAGCTGACATTAAACGAATGGATCTCAAAACGAGAAAGGTCCTCGCCACCGCATGTCTCACCATAAGGCTTTTGTTGATCATCTGTGTATGTCCAGATCCAAAGGTGTCAGACGATTAGTTCAACTAGAACTACAACAATCGGCATTCAAAGATACCTGGAAACTACAGAAAATGGATGCTCATGTGTCAAAGAACGTGAAAGAAATAAGAAACTTTATTCAGTAATAAAGAAAGCTAACAAATTCAAAGGGAATTTCAAATGGATGAAGAAGTGCAAATAAACTATAATGCATCTACTGCAGCGGCAAAGACACTAAAAAAGAGAACAAAACAAAGGCAATGAGCCAAATGCAGAAACGATGGCAAGATAAGCCTCTTCATAGCCAATCCTTTGCCCTTACCAAATTGATGTAGACAAAACCCGGTAACCATCATTTGTTACGTTGTGCTGGATTCAAAACTACAACCGAAGAAAAAATTCATACTATCTACCAAGGACATATTCTGAAAAATTCCGTTAACCCGAAATGCAGATTCGGTGATAAATATCCAGAAACAATTGAAAATCTGGCATCAGGTTGTACGGTGTTAGCACAAACTGAATATAAAACTAGGCCAAGAGTAGGCCAATATCTGCACTGAAAAACATTTACGGAAAGGTAACTACAAGCAACTGATATGAACATCACCCAGATCCGGTTACAGAGAAAGGGCCTAGAGCAATTTCATTGAAACTTACAATGCACACAAACAGAACGATCAAATCCAATCCCCCAGACAGATTAAAGGCAGCAAAAAATTGAATGCGCTTTCTTTTTGACATGGCAGTTGCTGCAGATTGCAATGTATCTTTGAAGATTTTCAACAACAACAAAAACAAAAAAATCAAAATACAAGAATTTGGAATAAACGTGGCTCATGAGGACATCAATAATTACAGTTGTAGTTGGAGCCCTCGGACTAATTAGAAAAGGTTCTGATAGATTCACAGAAGGGATTCCTGGTAGTCCATGCTTTAAAGAAATACTCTGTCTGTTCTACAAATACTTTCATGGTAATTGCTCCGAGGAGCTTCATTCGCAGGTTCCCAGACTGCATGAGTTCAAGCGCCCTACGGGGCTGGCATCCCGCTCTCACCCCTTCACTGTCGAAACTCCTAAATGTAGCCATCTCTTCTACTCTAATAGCTTCATGTCTCGCACCTCTCGCCTGTGGAACTCCCTTCCCTATTCCAGTTTCCCTGAGAGATATAATCTCCAGCTATTCAAGTGTAATGTCAATCGACATCCCCAGTTGCCTTGATCTATCCACTATCCTTCTCCTCATACCCTCTTCTATCACTCCTATCTGATCTCGCTCTATATTTTCTGTAACCTCTTGCGTCCTAGTGGCTTCCCGCCTTGCTTGGGGTGAAATGCTTAAAAAAAAATACAAAAAAAAAAAAAAAGCTCTACTCACAAGTTGAGTTCACACGAAGAGCTTTATCTATGTAAAATGTATGGTATTAGGCTTTTTTTTTTTTTTTTTTTTTTTTTGAAAAAATGACCAGTGGAAAATATCATGAAACCATTTTTGACCTTTGGTCTATGGTTCGGAACCGAAAAAAATGTGTATACAACAGAATCCAAAGGAAATCGTAATAATAATAACATTTATGTGAAGCAACGTTTTTAATTCGGTAATTACTTGTTTGCATCGTTAATGAATCGTTTTTAAATTAACAGATGCTTTTCTTACCATGCTGTTCACAAGCTGACTGCCTGATCAAATGTTTGCTCGAAGACATTTATTCCAGGTTTGTTTTGTTTTAACAAGGAAGCAAGCGCAAACACAAAAAGATATGCTCTGCAGTAATGGTGGTGTTTCGAGCTTTGACGAAATTGAATATTATACATTTCAGACAGAAATATCCTCCGGAAAGAATGGCTTATCACAACCTTCTAATCACTCAGACAATGCCATTTGATATTTTATTAAATTAGGTAATCATACAAGCAAATTTCTCTCTCTCTCTCTCTCTCTCTCTCTCTCCCACACACACGCGCACACACATGCCAAAGACAGCTAATAAATATAGACATATAGATATGTAGGTGTTAAATGGAGTACTGTCAGCAATCTTTTATTTGAAAAAATTCTGATATATATACGTACTAAATCAGAGAAATGAATTAGCTATTTTTTGCCGTTATTGTCATAAATTTTACTTAAATAATATTTAATTAGAAATTTTTAAAAAATGTGACCTGGTAATATACATACATATATTTGATATGAAAGGATAATATTACATACTGTAAGTAATTCTAATACATTTACTTGTTTTAAAAAGAAATATAGTCTATTAAAAATTAAAAGTGAAAATATTTTGAAATTTTAGTTAAATAAAATGTATTCTAACCTAAACATCTCCCAAAAATCTTTAAGTATACAAATAAAAAAATGCCGTAAGAATTTTTTGCCGTTAACAATAATTTTTTTAAAAAATCCAGACGATATGCATTTAACGTATGTCAGAATTCATTGAAAAATACATCCCTGCCCCTACCAAAACGTAACTAATAACTGATACAACCAAATACAGCGATAATGAACACGCAACCACTCTCGTCTGGATGAATGGATTTCTCTGTATCCTTGGAAACAGTAAATTATGAATTTTTGTCGTGCCTTTAAAACCCAGTAAATTTAAAAATAAGTTACTCCAAAATTCGCTTGAGGGTGAAATGGAACTAATGTTTTTAATTTAAATTAAATTCGAAGCTTTTAGCTTCCATTTTTGAAACATGGTTAGAACTGTGATGCGAAAAAAAAACATATTTTAAATCAATTAATTTATAATATTAATCCTCTGTAAATTTACATTGAGCACTATTTTGTAAAAATAAAAAATATCTATAAGAACACCGGATTATATATCTTACTGTTCTTTCTTTTATACATACATACATATATATATATATATATATATATATATATATATATATATATATATGAGAGAAATATCTATTAAGACTTTTGGCGTGTTACCACTGGTATCGAATGAGTTGTTCTTATTTCTGTTGAAACTTTTATAGAAAGTTCTTGGAATCGAATATTATGATTTGAGTAATTCCGGATATTTGTGTCAGCCTAACTGCAAATAAAGTATTAAAAATTTTTCAAGCCTTTACCTTTCAAGAAGGCTTCCGACTATTAATAAAATATGTTTCAATATCGGTGCTGATTTGTTAGAAGGCTCTCATATTGTAATGTCGTGTAATGACCGTGATGCTAAATTCTATCTAAGTCATGACATGCTAATATACAGTCATTTCAAACTTTGAACTGACAACTCTACCATTGAAATATTAGGTAGATCTGAACTCCCATTACTATTTTTTTTTAAGGAACAACTATGCTCTAAAAGAGCGCTGATGTTGACAGTTGTAACTTAGGGAAGGTTATTGTACAGAATAATCAAAGGAAGGTTCGTAATGAACGATAATACTTAGTACACGAACAACGCATAAGATTCGCCAGCGGCGCGTTGAAGTAGGAGTCAACTGCTAGAAGTTAGTCAAGTGAATTTCACAATGCGTCTCCAACTGCAGGATACCTGCCAACCACCCCAGGCGGTCAGATGTGGCACAAGGCCGAAATTAATGTGGGGTATCCGAGCCCGTAAACGCGGTCAAAAATTCCCCGTAGACCCCGTATAAAACCCTAGACGAGACTCTGTCCTTCGACATAACCTCGACTGGGGATCCTCACTGTCCGGAGGCAAAGAGTTTGACCAGCGCAGCTGGATCTCCAAATGCAGGAGATACCTACCAACCGCCCCACGCAGTTAAGATCTTGCACAAGGCCGAATTTAATGTGGGGCATCCGAACCCGTAATCTCGGCCAAAAATTTACGTAAACACCGTATAAAACGGGATTCTGCGTAGTCTGGTTGTCAGACAAGTTTATAGGGCCCTGTCTGTCAGCCTATAGCTGAGAGGAGAACTGGATTCATACCTCTCCAAAGAATATTTTCGCGTAAGTGAATATAACGATCCTAAGTAGAAATCGAACTCGGCTCTTCGATTTCGCATTACGAGCTGTTAACCATTACACCAGCCGTACAGCAACACTGTCGTTTAAAAATGGTTTAGCTCTAACAAAATGAACACAAGTCTAGTTATAAGAAAAATTAGGACATTCTCGTTCGATTGCAAATAATATAAACAATCCTTAGTTCTACCAATCCCTAAGCTTCACAGATCAGACACGGCATGCCACGTCCACAGAATTGACATCCCCATTTCCTTAATATTCCATTAGTGAGGAGGATGTTTTATTCAGCTTCTTCCCCAGGATTGTTACATTATGGAACGGTCTCTTTCAAGATCAGTACAACGTTAACTTCTTCAAGTCGAGGCACAACCGTTATCTATCCTACATATCCCCATAACAGGCACGTATTTCTCCCTCATTCCCTGTAAGTCCTTGAAAAAGCTCATTTATTAATCCTCTACTTTGAGCGGCTCTTGGGACTTGAAATAGGTGGACATTAATTAGTAAAGAAGAAAATGCTCATCTCTTGAGAAAAACGTGTTTATTTGTTGAGCAGGCAAAAATTAATCAGTTTTGCGGCCAGTTGAAACACCGGTTCTCGTACGATAACTGAAATTAAGCAACGTCGAGCTGGGTTAGTACCGAGATGGGTGACTATTTGCGAATACCAGGTGCTGTAAGCTTGGATGTGCGTTTGGGGTAATGGATAATCGCTCGGAATTGTTAATCCGAGAGCAGTATTCCAAATCCAGTCGGGTCTGTTATGTTCGCTTACGCTCAAGTACCCTTGGGTAAGGTGTGTATGCATCTCTTTTTCCCCCCTCCTGTGGGTTAATTTTAATACTTGTATCACCCAAATCATTATTATATCAAAATAAATAAATTTGCGTATATAATATATGTCTCGGTGTTAAATAACACATAAAGTTTTATATGCCGCTAAAAAAAAAATTGTTACAGCTTGGATAAAAAGTTTTCAATTATTTAACAAATCCTTCATCTCCGGATAACCAATCTTTGGAGAATTGTCGAAACTTTCAATAATGTTACTGCTAATTGAAAAAGGCACCTAGAGGCAGTTTTTGCTTAGAGAGATTAAAATTTCTAGGAATATGGATTCGTGAATTTTCCTGAAAGTTTGAAGAAGATATTATCACGATAATGAGTGTCTGCTATTGTCGGAAGAGTCATATTGTAGACGAATTACTTGTTAAGGTCTGACATATTTTGAGTGTCCTGGGTAGGACGATAAACTACATCCAGTAGCAAGGCATCCGCTCGGGAGATTGGAGGTTTTGAAGATCGTGAAACAACCTCTTAATTGCTATTGTTCCCAGGTCCACTCAGACCCGGGGTGGTATGGGCAAATATAGACCCCCCCACCAAACAAAAAACACTATGAAAGTATAAAAATACATTTTTATACTAAAATGACCAACGATACATATTTTTTGTAAAATTAATAACAACACATTTTCTAGCAAAATGACCAACAGTACATTTTATAGTTTAAGGCATATAATTGTGTTCAAAATATATTTAGTTGAAGCCATAAAATTGTATTCAAAATATTTAGATTTCAGCATTAAATAACCCACAGAAATTAATATGCCGCTAAACAAAATTAATCAAACAACCAACATGAAAGGACTGTTTCATGACTTTAATCCATGTAATGTCCTAAAATTTCTTAGAAGAAATCAAACTGTATCCGAAAATATAACTTCAACAAAGCTACAAGAGAAAACACACATATCATCACCTCTAGTAATGATGTCTACACAAACATGTATATGCCCAAGAGCGGCGTAACATCTACCATGTACTCAAATGTGAAAGCAGAATAACCTATGTCATATTTTTATTATTTCAAAGCTGCCGAGAAAGTTAAATTTAGGCATTAAATGAAGGAGGTATTATGCCGTTAAACAAAAAACTAATTTCGACAATAATTGTCAATTTAATTTTAAAAACGATTACAAAATCTGGAAGTTCTTTACAACAAAAGAAATCAAACAAATGTTCAAAAAAACGTTTCATTATAGATGTTCATTTGTAAAATTTCTTTCAAATTGTAAAGTCATGTTTTACGTAACATTAAATTCGTTATCTTTTTACTCTGAGCTAGTAAAATGTTTATATTTCATAAAAGAATTAAAATGTTTATTAAAATTTCCTCTTTAACAGACGCCTATTATGAATAACGATACACAGGCTTAAGTATATGTCATGGGAAAATGTATTTATATAACAATATAAAAGAAGTCTGTGATATCATCTAACATAAAAGAATAGGAATTGCTCTTCAGTCCACCCATATAGGAAGAAGAACAACAATAAATACATTTAATTCTTGAAATCATTTGTTTATGACGAAGTAGTAGCAAGAGTCTAAATTCGCTTAATTTTATAGATTGGATATTGCTGTCTTTACCTAATGTTCAAGTGGGTGATCCGATGGAGTAACGTATAGCGACACAGAATTAGAACACGGTAGAGCCGATTTCGAATACAAGACTGGCTACACACAGGAAAAGTATAAAACCGTGTGACCCCCCTAGTTATGGGTTAAATAATAAGATCATTATTAGTTTTTAAAAATGTTAATATGATACCCCCAAAAAGACGTTATTCTTACATTCCCACATATATTTTAAACATTACATAACCCACAAAAAGTTGATAAACAGAAAAAAAAATCAATGAATTATCTCAGCTGTAAAGAAGAGAAACGATGAAGCTATTTCTTTTGCTTTCTTTTTTTTTTTTTTTTACATATTCTAATTATAGCCGTCGCGGATGTGCGGGTAGCGAGACCGTTATTGGCGCAGAAATTAAAATTGGCAAATAGTTCAATATTATATCTATTATTGCGGCATGGGTCATTCTTTTTATTGGTTGAACAAGATAGTCTGGAATCTCCAGCCTCTATAGACATTAGTCTATGAGAAGGACTATTTTACGTTGATATTCAAAAGAATTATAAGAGTAAACAATCTTTCCAAAGAAAAGCTATGGCAATTCACAGATAATAAAGAAAATGATTCTGTGGAAATTCAGTATGTCCTGATGGAGAATTACATTGAAAAAAAAAAATCAGTTATAGCTCGGACTGTGCTATAATTATTTGTCAGCCATTACAGAACCTTTCAAACACAATGTTACCAAACCCTTGGTAATAATTCAAGATGAATAGATAATTTTCCTTAGTTTCTAATTCATCATGTGTGTAGCACTGATCCAATTACTACAATTATTACAAGTTTGACCCTAACATTCATATTCAACAATATTCTCTGCACCTTAATATGGTATGGTTATTATTTTACAATGTTTTGTTTCTTTTTATTCTCATTAGCCGACTAGAGGATGTGCGGATACGGCAATACATATGGGCACGAAAAATGAAAATACTGAGGTGAGTTCAAATTCCTGGCGAAGCTGTTGCATTCACTTTCACACTAATCCTCCTGGAAAAGACATAAATCTTCTTCTTCCCGATAGAGCTATTGGTTAAATAGCAGAAGAGGGTAGGTTATTGTTGAGGGGTCCGCCCCTTTTTACACAAATGGACTCACCCAGTATATACATACACTACGGCTACGTAAAGACCCGAGAGAGCAAAACCGAAGAGTTGAGTCCATAGTGACAGAGTAAAAGGTTGTAGGTAACCGGAAGAGTGAGGGGTGAGGTAACAGCGCTGTAGGAGTCACAGTGAGCGAGCATGTAGACTCGGTAAGAAGTCATACAGCAATACTTCAATACCAAAGACTGTATATATATATATATATATATTTGTTACTAACCCGTATTCCTGGAACTACTAACCTGCTTTACCAGTTTGTATTATTACGTTAATACATTATTTTCATATATTCATTCCTGGAGTTTGTTATTTATTGATACCGGATTTCAACCCGGAATCCACAACAGTTATCTAGACTCAGCTGGCAACTAGTCTAAGAGAAGGAAAACTCTTAATTTCAAAATGTTGAGAGAGCATTGTGAAACCACGCCACTATATTTCCAAAGAAAAACCATAGCATTTCACCGATGATAAAGGGACCTGTGGAAAGTCAGTATTAATTACGCCCTGAAGGGATATAGCATTATTAACAGAAAGTCTTTTAGTTCTCCGAATCTCTTAGATCAAGCATTGATATTAAAATGACTTTTTGACACAACTTTTGTTAATCCTAGTCCAGTTGTCCGTTATCGAAATTCCAAAATGATTGTTCTTCGATCTCGAAATCACTCACTCATTCTCTCGCTCAATTTCCGTATAGTCGAACTGTGAAGAATGGTGCCACCAATTCACACACGATTCTTTGCTGTTATGCTATGCATAGTAAATAGGTTTCTCAAGAGCTGAGCTACCATGCTCAACCAGATTTGATTTCAAATTAAACCTTTATTTAATAGTTGCCAACCTTGGCTAATATAGGAAATAAACCTAAAGATTTGAACTCTGATCGATTCGCCTATCAAGATGGTCATTTTGTGATAAAATCATTTCCGGTTATTTTAGGGAGGTTTTAACAGCACGTAATATTGTACAGAGTGTGGTGACTAAATTGTTGCCATTTTATATTTTAATACCGGTCATAAGCATTGATTCTTTTTTATTTTGTCGGCTGCACATTATAGTAAGGTTAGTTAGACGCCGTCTGTGAGAAAAATGAGCTTCATGACGCAATTCACTCCGTCAAAAATTTGAAAACGGCATGCCGCGCTGCTTGGCATTCGCGTTGGAATCTCCAACAGGATCATTTCAGAGTGTTCTGGTGTCAAGTGAGGACAAGGCAGAGGATTCGGAAGGAGGTGGATGGTATAGCCAATCAGCAACATGTTTGGAGTGATCATTAATGATGGTGACGTTATAACTCCATTCATCTTACCAGAAGGCATCAGACTCAATACGGAGACCTATATCAAGTGACTTGAAGAGGTAGTGCGTCAAGAGTGTAGCTTCTGGAAAGAAGGTCTAATGTCTGGCAACAGGACTCTGCACTATGCCACACAAGCAGGAGAAGACAATCATGTCTGTTAGACAATTTTTTATCGACCACATCACCCCTTATATCTGACCACCTAACTCCCTAGACTGCAACCCGCTTGATTGTTGTGTGGGGCGCAGTTGAGTGAGAGACTAACAAAACTCCTTGTAATACCAAAGATGAACTGAAGGCAAGGATTATGGCAGCATTCAACAAGGAGACGGCCCAGAAGAGTTGCAGGAGATTCGGAAGTCGTCTGCAGGACGTGGTTGAAACCAACAACGATTTTTTTTTTAAATAAATTTACTCTTTAGTATTACAAGATATTTTTGTGCAACTTTGGTAAATGTATCTGTTAAAATGTGATGTCAATTTTATTTTCATCTTTGCGGAATTTAGACGACAATTTATCCATCGCACTCTCGATATGAAATTTACCAGGACGCATCGCCCACTTAGATCACTAACATTCGAATGGGTTTAGCTCAGTGATAAGCTTTCATTCCGGACTCTGAAACATATCAGTTGATTTATGGATCAAAATAAAGCAAAGCGCAGCTTTTAATGTGATACGCTCAAGAGAAAAAAATGTCCAATGAAAGTGCTTATACATCTTATCTAGCAATATATATTTTCAAAACTTGCGATGTCCACTAGCTTAGATCAAGGATTCTCAAATACTGT